TCATCCGAGGCCTGGGCTTCAATCAATTCGCGGCCTGTTTTGTTGCCAGCGTGCGCGATTACACCCGCAGCTGCGAAGTTAAACTCGTGAGCGCGCTCGTAGGTTGGGGGGACGTTACCCTGGAGTGATTTAGCGATTAATGTTTGTTCACGGCTGGGTTTTCTAGGCCAACGATGAATTTGCGACAGCTTTTTGTAGACAGGAAATGGTGTAGAAAGGTCTTTGCTAGCTTGAACAATAGACATCGTCTAAATTATATAGGGCCACACGGCCGAGAAGACAACGAAAATGCAAGAGATAGATGCCGGCCGGAAGCAAGCGTTTTCTAATTCCCAGACTTGTTTTAACTTTCGATCATAAGTATTTCAAAATGAAGGGTAGATGAAGAAAGAGAATGGAAAAAGGGCAGCCGTTAACAGGGGGTTCGCGGACAAGAAGACAACTCGATCGCTGGGACAATACTTTTATTCGCTTGACGTTCCGACATTCGTCGCGGATTCACCATCAGAGACAGTAGCATAAAACGGTAGCAGAGATGGGAAATACATGCACAGAAATTTACAGTATTTATAGGACACAGTCATTACTGCAAACATACAAACATACTGCAGTAAGGACCGTATGTTATAAATACTGCAAACCCCTGTGCTTGTATTACCCGTTTCTGCTATCGTTTTATGCTAATGTCTCTGATGATGAATCCGCGACGGATGTCGAAACGTCAGACGAATAAAAGTATTGTCCCAGCGATCGAGTTTTCCTCCTTTTTAATCACTTCCTGGGACTCCTATATTCGCTTGTATTGACGATTCATGGATAACTGGGACAGGCTGGAGGCATAGCATCAGAAATAAGTTTGACGGGGGGAGGGTAAACAGAAGGCGCCCTCCTTACAGCAAATGTCGTGGGACTGTGAGCCAGTTCTCTAGTTTCCCGTTTGCCTTACGAATGCATCCAACTACTGAAATTATGGTCATTAAGGATAACAACTTTTTGCTCTAGGCAAACAACGTACGGCTCGCTGGAAGGTGGCATAACGAAGCAAAACTGTGTGACCTGCAGAAAGAATAATCAAAATACACAACGCGAACTCAGAAGTAGTAATGAACCATGTACGACAGCAATCCCCATCCCATGATAGGGACCTGCTTCCTACTATGAAGCATAATTTGAAGAAGATGAAGATGAGGAAGAAGAGGCAGAGGAGGATA